ATCATGCATACATGTTTACCTTTAGCCAAGTATTAAGAAAGAGATATGTCTCATTGAAACAAAAAATCCTAATTTCTGTTTTTTCAAAGAAGTGTAATATATATTTTTTTTAAATAGGAGTGTAACAAAATTACCATATCTCCCAGAAAAATGTGTAGGCACTGATAGTGTAGTCAGGAATACTAAAAGTTTTCTTATTTACTGGGGTATTGGCACAGTGTAGGGAAAGTTGATGTTTAGATTACATACTAGGCATTATCTGTTTCTTTTTTTTTTCAACAGGAAGTCTTTATTTTCTCAATTGATATATAGATGTTTGAAAAGTTTGAAAGAGAAGAGGTATATGATTCCAAGAAGGAATAGTTAATCTGCACTTTTCACTTTTTCTCTCATAAAGTACTGTAAAATGTCACATGCAGACAACACCTTGGAGAATTTGTGTAATAGTTCATTTTTAAACCCGCTGCCACCGGGGATGGCATATACGTACATACCATGCCCTCTTTGAGTTTAGTTTATTAGTTGTCTTTACACACAGTTTTTACATGAGCCAACTGTGAGTACTACCTATCAGCTATTTACCATTTCCTTGATTTTTGGAAATGTGTTTTAGTATCCTACATTGCTGTTAGTAATGTCAGTAACATAATTAATTATGATGTCTCTAATAATGATAACCGCATCAATATTGTGATAATATTAGTATAACAAATTCCCGCAAACTCAAGGAAAGGTGAAGTTAGTTGAGGTCACAAGGTCTACCGATTGACTCCTTTATGGCTAAGCACTTGCAGAGCCTTCTATATGCAGAGACATTTTACAAAACTATTCTACAGTGAACACAACATTTTCCTGCTGACTTGGGGTCAATATGATATTAACAAATGAACTGTGGATATATGAAATGTATGTTCGCACAGTATATATGAGAAAAAGGGAGAGGGAGATGGGGTTGTGGGGAGAGAAAGAGTAGTGATTGAGTGTATGAAAGAGAGAGAGAGAGTGTGTCTGTGTGTGTGAGTGCGTGCATGCGGGTGTGTGTGTGCATGTGTTGTGTGTGTGTGTGGTGTGTGTGTGTGTGTGTGTGGTGTGTGTGTGTGTGTGTGTGTGTGTGTGTGTGTGTGTGTGTGTGTGTGTGTGTGCAGCAAGTTTGGGTGCATGTATGTGCATGTGTGTTATAACACACGTGTATAAACATACATATACATACACATTTTTTCTTGATCTTGTGTATCATTATATTTTCTGTATGCTAGAGTATATCATGAATTGTTGGTACTTCATAAATTTATGACAAAGAGAAATAATTATTGTACAAAGGAAATTGATATATAGATTTAGTGACATTTACTTATATTAGCAAAAAAATACTACATATTTTACTTTTCCAAGAATGTGTACATATGTTTTGGCCTTGTATTCAGTGATTTATTATAGTCATTGAAGGTATATCAAGTCAGAGAGATTTTTAAAGAGAACATTTTCTGGAACTAATTTTCATATTATGAATTAGAAAGAAATATTTTGTTAATAGATCAGTATCATGTAAAACAACCAGTTATGTTGTATTGAATGTAAGATAAGGCTGAAAATCAAGGCATAGTAATCATGAAAATTATTGCTTAAATAATCCTATTATTCATGATGACCTGGAATGCTTCACAGATAGTTATTATGCTCTATATTTTTTACTTTGTAAATGTAGTGAATAAACCAGAATGTGCATTACTGTACATCCCCTGTTTGAGTATATATAGAAAATAGATATTACTTACAGGCACACGTTTTCGTCCCTTGTCCTTGGATGTCCCAAAGCCGCTGTTCCCAGTGGCTGGCTTGCCGATGGTCCAGCATCATATAGAAGCACTTGCATCCTTACCAGATCTGAGGGAAATTCTCCTCCTTGGATACTTCCCTGCCCAACAACTACAACAGTTTGTAGCTGACATGATGGCTACTTACAAGATAAGAATAAGGTAATACATTGGAATTTCTGGATTTGAATAAGGGAAATGGTAATTCATAAAAATGAATTCAAAGCTGGAAATTTTGTTAATTAGTCATGATTACTTTTTCACTTCACATACTTATGGAGGGCGCGTGGCACTCACACACACACACACACACACACACACACACACACACACACACACACACACACACACACACACACACACACACACACACACACACACACACACACACACACACACACACATATTTGTGTGTGTGTGTGTGTTTATTTATAATATTTATTTATAATTTGATATTCAGTCTTTGATGTATTAGCTGGCATACTGAAAATTAAAGGCAGTTTATTACTGTTATGTATGGTAATCCTTACGAAATATTGAAAGTATCTCACACCTTCTTTTTAAGGTATCTTCAAGAATATCAAGCTTTAGGAACAGCAGGAGGAATCTATCATTTCCGTGATCAAATAAGCTCTGGGAATCCTGATGCTTTCTTTGTGCTAAATGGGGATGTGTGTGGAGACTTTCCTCTACAGGAAATGCTTGACTTCCACACAAATCTTACCACACCTTCCCTCATTACTATTATGGGTACAGAAGCCACAAGACAACAGTCTACTATGTATGGTTGCATTGGTAAGAATATTTTGTAATATATCTGGTATGTCGTAATATGGCTGTAATTGCATAAAAGGTGTATTATATTTTTTGTTTTTCCTTAATCTGAGTTAGATCATAAAGTATATATTGCTATATTTCTTCCAGTTGAAGCAAAAGACACACATCAGGTCCTCCATTATGTTGAGAAGCCATCCACTTTTGTATCAAACCTGATCAACTGCGGTGTATACATTTGTTCCCCTGATATATTTAAAAGGGTGGGTGAAATTTTTAACTCAAGACAAGATTTTTACAGGTAAGTGCATAGTGACACTGAGAAAATATGAATGGAAATGTAGTAAATTTCAATATACTGTAGATTATTTTGTCTCTTTAGTATTGAGTGTGATATTTGGTATACTTTATATGATTTGTTTTATACTGAGATTATGCAAGTGCAAATGGCTAATTTTACATTCCAGTGATGACAGTGAGGGCAATGAATCTATTCAGCTTGAACAAGACATTCTGATGCCCATTGCAGGCACTGGTCAAGCCTATGTTTACACCACCGACAGGTCAGTTTTGTATGATGATTGTTATGGGGTAAACTTTCTTCAAATGCATTTCCTCTTCTAACTCAGTCTTTTATTCATTCCTCTCCAGCAAATTAAGAAATAATGTTTAGCCATTTAGGGGACATCTCATATGGAAAATGATGTGTGTGGGGGAATGCGTGGCCCAGGAATTTTAGGAAATTTCTCTGTCTCTTTATCTTCTATCGCATGTTAAAAGGTAACCGTATAAACTGTTTAGATAACTTTTTCACATCTGATAGTTTTTTATTTACATTCAGGAATGAGAGATATAAAAACTGAAATTTATAAAGTGAATAGAAGAAACAATGGTTGCCTTCATGAAATTCAATTTTGTTTATACCCATATACTTATATATATATCAGTTCTGTTGTTGATGTGTGTTATAGTTGATGATGATATATAGTGTAGTTATGTTGTAGTGGTGTGGTGTGGGTGGTATGTATTAGTGTTATTGTATATATTATATTTATATTGAGTTATGTGATTAGTTTGTATGTTGTGTATATATGGTTATTAGTTATATATATATGTATGTAATATATTTTTAATATTTTAGTGTTTAAAGATATAGTATATAGAGTATTAAAGCTTAGCAGTGTACTGCATATTATATATATTATATAATAATAATATACCTAAATATATATAGTATATGGGGTAATTAATTAGTTAAAAATGATAGTATATATAAGGTGATTATCTTTAAATATAAAAATATGATAGAAGATCAATGTTTAATATTATATAATATATATATTATAATAATCCATAAACTATAGTTGATATTCAAATATGTATTATTATACATAAAGGCGGATGAATAAAGTAATATGATAAAATTTCGTATTATAATAAGGAGTGAGAGATATAGTATCTACTCTACTTGAATAGTAGTGTTATAATGTATGTGTAGGGTGTGAGTATAGTAATTATGTATATATATCTATACTTATTATATTCTTGTCGATTATGTAGTATGATTATATTAATATATATATAAAAATATACATAAATTAGTATTGAGGTTCATAGTTTATTAATTTATTGAATGTTATATGTGTATAGCATTTAGTCTGTCGGTAGGAAGAGTAGACTGAAGGAAGCTTTTTTGGATACATCATTTCTGTGACATAAATAAGAGCATTAAGATGTCTGGATTTTATATGAACTAAAATCAACGATAACTATTTGGGCTTCCGTGGAATTGACACAATGATAATGGGAGCCTTTTTCATATATATATCTAATATTATTTTATTGCGCGTAGTAAGAGTTGCTCTAATTCCTTTTATATCTTTGCTTCATCTATGTCCTTCATAATTAGTAAGATTTAACAATGACTGATTAACATATAATCCTCTATGTTCATAATCCCCATTCCTTGTAAGATAGTAAGGCGAATTTAAGACAATAACGTTTTTTTAGGTAGTGATTCTAGTAACTATTATTATATATAAAATAACTATAATTTATGATCTATAACTGGAAAATATACTGTCTTTCTTGTCTCTACTATTATTTGTGTACTATATGATTGTTTTCAATGTATGAATGTTTGGTTTTAGGGTTTTTTTGTTTGGTTATAGTGGTGGATAGGTATTTTTGTGAGTTTTTTTTAGTAGTTTGTTCAATATCAAGAGGGGCAAGGCTTGGCTCCTGCCATTTTAGTGCTAATCGCCACTACCTTCTCAATCTCTACCACGTTAAAGCAGAAGGAAATCGGACTTGCCACAAATGGGCCAGATAGCCAACATCATTGGGTGATGTTTACATTCATCCAACAGCAAGTGTTGATCCGTCTGCAGTGGTAAGCCAAAAATAGATTTC